CCGAACCTCCCTTGGTTACTGGCCTGGTTTTTCATGCACCAGGTATGAAACAAATGTTTGGCAAATTATATTTATTACGTGGGATGCAAGTATGAATCAGTTATCATGATTATAGTATAAGTGTCTCGAAAGTGAAACATTTGTGTATTTCACTCTTTATTTGGCACGTGGCAGTAAGATGAATACTGCAGTTCAAGACTGTTAGCATTTGAATCGGCAAACCATAGGCGACAGTTAGTATGCTTATCAGCAGAACAAATGGGAATTAATGGTGTTTTTATGGGCAAATTACCATTTGTGTGTAAAGTGAAGTGTCCAATTTAATTCCAGGTCTGAAATATAAACACATGCTTGTATAATTTCCCCACTTGTCACCAGACTTGGTTGTCATGGCAGAAAGACATACAAATGCAGTATTTGGGATTATATCCTCTCAGTTTGAACATTCTGTAGCCAATAGTGTTCTGTGAGTGCAAACAGGTTTGGACAGCCTAATAGTAAAGAAATAGCCTCAAATTTACCTTTCATTTTGGTTTTTATTTATGGTTGGAATATGATATGGTATTGTTAACTGTTGTAATAACCATAATCAAGGAGTTATCTGTTATAACTCCTTGCCATAATATAACCTGAAAAGTTGCATTATAGCTTCAGGGTATAATTTTGTGCAGATGTTTTTTTTTTTAACTAAGAACATCACTGTTGCCTCAAGTGGTTCTAGATTAGGGATATTATACAGTAGAAGTAATGGGAAAAAATGAGCCTCACATCTTACATTGACAGCTGACTTACTGAACTTTGTCTTTTTATGTAGAATTTGTTTTTATGATGTATTTTTATGAGACCAGTTTAAGTGGCTTTGAAAAGCAAAGTTGAAACATAGATGCCCAAGAGGACAGCCAAGTATATAATCGAAATATTATTTATGACTTTTAATTTTTACTAGTCACTTTATTCCCACATAGTTTTAACTGCTTTCCAAGTGTTCTATTATGGTATTTCTTTTTAATCTTAAATTCCTTCATTCTCTCCCCTCCCCCCTCTCTCTCTCTTTCTCTCTCTCTCTCTTTCTCTCTCTCTCTCTCTCATATCCACAACATAGTAACTCGTCCACCCAGACCCAGTAGACAAACCCAGCTCATTGATCTGCACCATAAACTCAATACACAGAGTCTGTAACTTTGCCTTAAGTGACTACCATTGATCCACTGACCTCCGACAAAGGCGGGGTCACTAGTGTGGGGGGTGGGGGATGGAGGGGAGTGAGCCGTGACATTGTTCTTGGACACTTATTTCTTTAAGGTTCTCAACATTGAAAGAATATTGTGATAAACAGTCTAATAGGTTAGTTGATAGAGTCTGATTCTTGCTATTATGAAAGAGATTGCCTTTATAGATTTGGCCCTCCTGTATTAATTTATATGATAGTTCTTGACTGTAGATTGTGCTATGACACATATTGGCATGTTCAAAAGGCATTGGTGATACTGAGAGAGAGTGTTAGTCTGGTGATATATATGTCTGTGAGTATACCATTCATAGTCCATTGGTCAATTAGTGACTTTTGAATTATGTAGCTTTGGAACCAAAGGTTTCTCCTGTTACTGAGTGAAGAATAAAAGGCATCTTTTTTGGTCATGGTCAGGGTTTGCTGTCATAATTCATTTGTGATTTAAAAGTATACTAATTTGAAAGAAAAATTTGAAAATGATACCAATATTTCTAATATTTCTGTCTTAAAAAGTTTTAATTTGACTTGGATATATTTGTCTTCTTTAAATCTAAGTGAAATAAGTTGCCATTGGCTTGTAAAGAACTAAACCAAATTTAGGATGGAAACTTGTAAATGAAGCCCAAATTTATCCATGTGATGAAAATAAATACAGTAAAATCAGACAGGGATTTTTCAAGACTGTCTGACTTCTTTAGACCCACATTCTTTCTGCTCTTATGTTCAGACTATTTCACTATTCTTTTCCGTCTCCTGTTGCACATATAATGATGTTCCTGTATAAAAGCACCCCGTGTGCTCTGACCTGTCTCTGTGCATTTTATTATGCATGGGTAATAGTAATGACCTGATGTATGCGGGGTACCAGAGAAAGCAGATGCAAGCCACGCGGGTCGTCGTTTCTGGACAGCCACCGTTGCAAGATTTGCCATTTAAATTTTAAATGCCCAGATAGAAACTGTTTTCTTGTTACTTATACATGAAAAGGGCTTACTTGGGTGATTTGAAAAAAAAAAAAAAAATACAGCAGTGGCTGTTTGCCAAGAAAATTTAAATGCCCAAGTAAAAATAGCAACCAAATTATTTATACATGGATAGGGCTGTCCCAGGTGAGTTTTAAAGTTTGTCATTTATGTGTAAGATGCCCAGGTGGAAAGGAAGCTGGTAAAAAATAGTCTTAAATATCTGTGAGCTATCCCATTGTTAACCTTTGTCTGAATTTTCATCTATTTTCATGAGATATTTTCATTTCACAAGCAACAACCTTTACTCTAGTTTTGCTAAAGTGTCTGTATTTTTAGGCACAGAAATAAATAAATTATGAAAAGATAATTAGTAAATAAATGAAAACACTGCTGTGGGAAATAAAAATTGTTATCTGAGGCATCCCAGCTTGTTCTCCCATCATGATGAATTCACAGCAATCATTGGTCACAGAGTTGGCCAGGTTATAATTAACTTTTACCTTATTAATGGAATAGCAGTATATAACAGTATGTATGATAGACTTAGATACAGCTCCTGTTATTAAAACTACTTTGGTATGTGTGAAATTGTCAGAGGTGGGGACTGGGAATGTTATTAATACAGATGCCCGGCACCAGGAATGTTATTGCTATGCCCCATTACTGCATGATATCAACCCTCCTTCATAGTTATATTTGTTATCCATGTTTGTGTTGTAATGATTTATTTGATACTGCTGAACTATGTATAAATATGGCATGCCATATCAGCTAGTGGTGGTAGGGACATATAAGCTGACACAGCTTATCGCACACAAAATCTGAATTTATTTCACCCCAGTTATCGCACATTGGGGGAAATGGCATGAATGGAGAGATTAATTCACAGTTGTTGAACAGTCAATTCTGTGGCTTTGTGAATTAATTTTGGCATCGTATCTATTATCAGTCATCTGAAATATCAGGACCCTTCTTTCCTTCTTCCGGTCCACAATGTGTTGTGCTGGAACCTATAACAGACAAGAAAAACATTTATTCGGATGAGTAAAGCATGTGGGATGTGATTGTCCACTGCATGCTAATAGTAATTAGTTTGTAGATTCCATAAAGAGGGGATGCTTGGTGACAGTAGGCTGTGGTATTGACATAATCAGAGACAAAACCTCAGTAAAAACTTTGTTGGTTTCGTTGGATACAAAATAAACACCTGTCTTTTGAGCACAGTCAGGACAAGGGACATCCCTCTTTGTCATTGCTACTTGGTGTGACATTTTTGTACATTTTGGTATTTGATGTTTAAGTGTCACATTTGGGTGGTCTTAGATGTTACATAAAGGAAGAGGCAAAGTGAATATAAAATGGTTTGATATTAATAGACATTTATTATCAGTAGGTGTAATGGTATGATATATATTTGTAATTTCCTCTTCTGAGTTTGTCTTATCAGGCTGCATTTTTCAGCAACATTTTAACATCAACATAAATTATGAAAGAAATAGACCTTTCATTATAAAAAAGCTGTGTCATATAGATTTTAAAAGTTAAAAACCTCTATGTAAGGCTATTAACAACAATAACAAATTTCACACAAAAACACCTAGAAACATTGACATTGATCCATTTCCCCTCCCCCTCTCCCCTAGATCTCTGTGGGACATGTTGTGCCTCATTTCTGTGGTGTGGGGACTGTCTTTACCCCCTGATTCTCAGATGCATACTAATGATAACAGGCTGCCTTTGCTGAGTATAGTGGGGACGAGTGAGTGAACGAGCAGCAAGCAGTAGTAATTCACCGCCTGACGCGTCCTTGTAAATAGGTTGACAGGTAGATCAGGGAAGGTCACTTTAAGCTGTGTGGTTTCTACAACAGGTGAGTTTTAATGGCAGGATTCTGTCGACTTTGGGTAAAATCACCGAAATGTGCATTTTAGGTAATGATGGATGTTTGTGATGTTGTCCATATTGTCGGAATGTCCATTGGGTAATGCAAGGTGAACGACCATCAGTTGTTGACATTTAGAACAGCACAAGTCCTAGGGCTAAGAAAATCAATGGCTGATTCCAGTAAAGTTAAATAGATGCACAGACAATATGTATTGATTCTTATTACTGCAAACTTATGGTTAGATGATGACACTTAGAATAATTGGTAGTTGAAATAAGGGGATGTTTTAATAAAGTTTAATAGATACACTGACAATATATATTGATTCCCATTATTGCTGACTGTTGTTAAATGATGGTAAGATGATGACATTTGAAATAATTGTCAGTTGAAAGGCAGGGAAGTTTTGATTGAAAAGACAAATAATATATTCATAATTAATATATTGCAATTACTTATAAAATGCTATGAGGTTGGATTTGAATTGGATAACTGCTGTAAATAGTGCTTTCAAAAACAATTACATTTAGAATGGCTAGATTCACTCCATTGTAGTATAGAAGATAGTATTGTTGTGTGATAAGATATATTACTGATCCCAAACTGAGCCAGGCACATTGCATGATGATGCCAATTAAAGAAACAAATAAACAATAGAGACAATTGAGGACGCCGCTTGAGAAGAATGTATTTCACATAATAAGATAGACATTACAAAAAAAAAAAGGTTTGGGCCCTTTTTATTGAAAGATACTACTGTGCTTCTATTAACTAACTTATTTGCAAAATAAGTCAGTACAAATTAAAAGGTTGTGGCTCGTTTACTGAGGTAAAAAAATGTACAAAATAATCAGGTACAGAAATCTTCAAGTCAGAAATTTGAAATAACAAGTTCAGTTGCAACTCCACATAAAGCAATATGAAACCAAGAGAACCTGGGAGAAGAGAGAAACCATACACCTGTATAGGTCATATCTAGTCAGTGATTTTCAACTAACAGTAGAATGGATGTTTACAAAATAACACATTGTGTGGGTTCTTTCATCAAATACATTGTAGAGGTAGAGCTAAGCGGCCTGCAAACTTTGATACCGGAGCCGAGGCATTGACTGTATTAGTTTCAATATGACACAAGGAGGATTGTGCACCTTTTCAGCGTGGTTGAAAACTTAGCCATTTTTTTCTTGAAGTGTCTTGCATGTTTTTGAGTTAAAATGTCATATAAAATACAGGTGCATCCAGTTTTATTCGTACATAACTGAGCAGAGATGTTATGGTCTGTATTCTCTTTATCAGATTTATATGGGAAATATGAAAATAGAATTTATGCCTGATATTTGAGTTTGTAGTCATAAGAAAAAATACAACAAAGAGGGATTTGAGGTCTTTTGTCTAAGTTGATGAAGGTTGCTGGTTACCAGCTGCCCTAGAAGACTCGCTGAGCAACAATTAAGTACCGACATGTTAAGACAAAGAAGTGTCATTGTCATAAAACATCTCTTAAAAGTCATGGAGGGAATTAAAGTTGAATTTGAATACAGTCAAAGTCACCTCGTATACGGCACTGAAGAGTTTTAAGTTTAGACCAAACAGCTTCATGGGAGTTTTATGACCATATTTTTACCATGGTATTGTACCATAAAACAAAGAGGAATTAAATTCTCCATGCCGTAACTGTCTTTTGTGGCAGTCATTCTCCAAGGGAGGGATGCAGAGTTGTTTGCCCAGCGTTTAACCCCTACTTGACAACACTTGTCCCTGTTCATGTTAATTGGTCTTATCAGCTGATTGGCCACGGTGAAGTGCCGTAATGGCGCAATCACTGGTAGTATACTGGAGGCAAAAACAAACAGTGCGTCATGCCAGAGAGGCTCTGTTTTAATCCAGCTTTATGATAGAATAGGTATATGGCATAAATTTGAAGATTTTCATTGCAACCTATCTGAAATATACATTGAAGAATAGGATGACTGAATAAAATTAATATGCAAGAATATCTTGTATATATTAAAGTACTTTACTTGTTAAAGCATATTTATATTAAAAGAAGTATGCAAAATATTTATGAGAAGTTTAAAAGATTAGTTTTAACTCATTTTGATCTAAAATTATGTAAAAAAGAAAATATATGAATAAACCTGTGGGTGATTTCGGTAGAGTTTGAATTAAATACGTACCTGTAAAATATTATCATAAATATTGCTTATTATAATATGTGCACAAAGAAAAGATGAGACCATCTTTCCATTGTTTTGTCTGTCTTTATCAGTACTGTAGGTAAGCTAGGGGAGGGTAATGTCAACCTTACTGGCTATATTCTTATAACTTTATCTCAGGAAGATGTTTACTTCCATGAATTTAATGGACCAATGATATTAGAGCAGCCATTGAAGTTCCTCGGCACACGTATTGCTGATAAGTCGCTCTGATAACGTGACCTATCTACACACATTTAGGTAAAGACACAGAGGTTGTAGTAATAGTGTACGGTAAAGTCTTGAAAATTTCGTCGTTCTTGAAAATTTCGTCGACAGACGATTTTCCGCCGAGGTAATTTTTTTCCCCTTGAAAACTTCGTCGACCTTGAAAATGAGGTACTCAATAATTTTTGAAAAGTTCGTCACCAAATATGGCCGCGTTGTNACCGTACACGTACAAGACAGAGGTTGTGACTTATTTGTTGGTGTTGACACTTTTATTTGGATATTTGTACTGAGGAAGTGTTTTTTTCGAAAGAACTGAATTGACTTATACGGAAGGAGTAGGGGCTGATTTCTGTTTTAAGGATGTTCAGTTAAAGAGAAGCTACAGACTTGTTCAGGTGAGCAGAAAGTTGTTCTAATATTGGGTTAGGGGCATTGGGTTGACTTAAATGGTTTGATCTGCATATATGTGAATGTATGGAATACTACTTTTAGTACTGGATATACAGAGAAATGATAGGAGTTTAAGGTGGGACAAATTATCGATTGATAAACATATAGCAGTGAATGTTACAAACAATGTATGAGTTACAGCTATGTGTGGTATATAACTTATGTCAGTAAGGTGAATTCTATTTATACTTCATACAGTAGTGTAAAAAAGGTGCCTGTGCCATTTGATTGCTTTGTTTTTCTGCAATTTGTCTATAATGCCTTTTCACCCGCTAGATAAAAAGATTAATCTAAAAAGCAATAGCCAGTGTGCTCTCCGATGTGTTTTCTTATCTTTCCCATTTCGACTATTTTTAGATAAGTCATCTGATTCATAAGTATATATAACTGAATCACACACTCATTGCTCAATTTTTTTTATTTAGTTTCCTTATTGGTGTCAAAAACTTTATAACACTGTACAAATACCTGTTTCACTTGTGACACGTGATAAAAAAGTGGGTCTAACTCATTGTATTCCTAACAGCTGGCTGACACCTACTATACCTATCTTGTTGAAAAACAAACAGAAACATGGAGATAGCACAAGGGAATTATCAGCCAAGAGTCAAGTACATAGGGTAAAACCTGATAACATGAAGCTACTTCACCCTCCTTGAAGGATAACAGTGTGTTTTGCCCTTGTTTCTGCTCTGTCCTGTAGTTTTATAAAATCTGGGCTTAGATTAGCATATGTATGGGAGATATATGACAACATCTATAAATTAATTGATTTTCAATATAGAAATGATAAACCATAAAATAGAAACTTTTTGTTAGGTATTTTGGCTAAATTTGACATAATTAAAACAGTAATTAAACTATTTAACTAGACCAAAAATATACCTGTGCTCACTCTTTTAATTTCACTTCCTAGGATCTCTAAGCCTTGTAGCTCAGTGCCATTAATGCAGAAATTAATCAAAAGGTATAAAGATAAAAGCAAAGGCACTTCAAACTATGGACTGCTAAATAAATAGCATTGTTTTTTCCTTTATCTTAAAAATCTAAAATCAATTTCCCGTTAATGCACAGTTAAGGAGTTGCCCTAATGGCTACTCTGCCATGTGGCTAGCATGCTAAGGGTGATGTGGATTGGTCAAATTGGCCTTGTCAAGTTCTGAGTGACCAAACAGTTGACATGAGATCATGATTTGGTATGATACAAATTCACTATCTTTGTTAAAAGGCCATCTTTGAAGGCTATAATGTGTTGCATGCTGGTAAGTCTTCAGTTTTGACTTCAAAGAAATAAGATGAAAGTTACTTAAGGGGTCCTATAGTCTGTGTATGGCACATAGAAATTTAACATGTGGCAGTCTATTAGAAAGTTTAGTATATATAAATATGGCAGATGGCTAAATTTCAAGACAACAGTTCTAAGATTTCTGTGTCACAGAGAAGTAAATCCAAATCAATTAAGGTACAGTTATCAGAAAGACCTCTCCTTGTAATTATATTACCTCATCTTGGCTAGCCGTTAAGTGGACAAAGGTGACCATTTCTGGCCTCCCTCACATTGATAATGCCCATGGTGTTAAATAACTGGAACAGGTGCCCTTAGGGATGAAATGTTAAGTGAAAATAACTGTCTTTTGGTATTGAATTAGTTTGTTATTATATGGTGTTAATATATGTGCAGAGTACTCCTAAATGAGACTTAATCGAGGGGTTTTAGCAGTTCTCCCTTTTAGGCCCCAGCAGGAATAAAGCAATCTACCAAAAACCAATTTCTTAGACTGAGTAGTCTAGACTTGTAGTGCAGTTACCTGTAATAGTAAGCATTGTTGGATTATATGTATATATATGCAGATGTTATCACTGGTGGCTGTAGTATTGGGGTATAATCACTGCTATGTATTTTCATATATAGTGTATAGTCTTTATATACATTGTATCTCACACATACCTTGGCACACATATACAAAACTGTAATATGTAAAATATTTTTGTTAGTATCAAAACATTTACAACATCAACTAATGCTGTTTTTTTTTCTCCTAAAAATCTCCAACAAAAGGGACTGAGTTTTAGGACATCTATATCCAAGGTACCCCACATTCAGTGGTCCTCATCTCATTGTTCTGATTATGAATTGAAAACACGGATCTCTTCGGGTGATAGGGTTGCATTTTAATGTCCTGTTGCACCCCAAGAAATGTCCAAACTACTGCAGCGTGAGCTGGGTCTGAATTGTTTGATGCCTGGACTGATACGCCATTAGGGTCCAGTGCATTTGTCAGTGTCCGGCATTGCTTGGGCAGATAAAGTGACCACTAAAGCCCTCGGTGGCCAGTGGACAGTTAAGTTATTGTCCAGGGTATTGATGGAGATAAAGATAGAGATGGTATCTATAGTTGGGATCGTTACTAGAGAGCAGTGATATTGAGGGTGTTTTGACTGGTGAAGAATTGGATTAATTTTGATACCTCCCAAGCTGTGTTATCAGATATACTCGGTGCAGGGTGTGAACATGGCTACGCGTGCATGGCATGTATGTATGCATGCATCTACCTGCGTGCGCACAGTCTTGTTTTTGATTCATGATTTTGTGTTGCTCATTCCTTGCATGGTTGTATTCAGAAAGTTATACTCTACCTGACAGATGAAAACACAAATATGCAAAACATTGTAATCCATAAAAGTCATGCATTATTCAGTGCCTGCTCATGTATTTCTCTTCTCTGTCACCTTGGTTATATTTCTCCACACTGCAGTGTCTCCTGCTTGTTGATTTATAGGCACAAGACACACAAATTACACTGTGTTTGTAAAATTTGCCCTCAAGACATTACAAGCAATTCTAAAGATAAATTGTATCATTTTTTGCAGTAATCAGGGATTTACAGATAATAAAGCACCATAGTGCATGTGCCTGCTGCTTTTCATATTTTTCTTCTTTTTTTTAAAATAGAACGGCATAGATTAGTATATGCATCTATTGCCTTGTTAAATGTTTTTGTGACTAAAATTGTATCATATTAAATACTAGGTTTGTTAAAACTGTCCACATGTCCTGTTCATACAAGGCTTTTAGGCCTTCTTCATTAATTTGATGGTCCTTGACACCAGCACAAATTTTTATAAGTATCCTTCAAACAACTCATGGACTTAGTGCCTCCCTTGTTCTACAGTGTCACCATTCACTTTCATCATTGTCATCATGTCATCTTGTCACCCTGTGGACAGCTTCATAGCGGGCTATCTCCGTGGTGACAAAGGAAAATGTCATCTCCAGCCAGACGCGTGCAGGGCTTGTGCTGTTGCCGTGGTAACTGGAGACCTGGGTTGAATTACTGGCTGGAAACACGGGCGCTTCTTTTTGTCTGTAATGGTGAGAGAGAGAGAGAGTCCTTTATCGTCCTTTCCACCTTTATTTGTTTAAACTGATTTATGCTTCAGTATCACAGACTTGCACAAAATACCAAATATTTTGGAGTTCAACGTTAAATGATTAATAGTACCATTAGATTTCACATTATAGCTCTTCCATATTTATGATGTCTGAGATATAAGAGCTGAATTGGAGCTGCATGCAGAAATATCAGTTTATAATTTTGGTATAATTTTCCTTGTTGGTTGCCACACTTTCTATATCCAACTGGGGCATGTATGATAGTATTATATATGATTTGATAATAGCATGGTCTAAGGTTACTGAGGTATTATATGTAGAGACAAGAAATTTGACACGAAAATTGACTTAACTCGTGATCATGTCACATGTAGAGGTGGTTTTCACTGAAGATTTTTAAAAAAAGAGAGAAAGAAAACAAAAAGGGCACAGAGAAAGCAATTTGAAATTTGAAATTAAAAAAATAAATAAAATAATAAATAAAAAATCCATGTATAATCATTATTTGGATATCATTGCTGTAATATCTTATCCAGAATTTTTTTTTTGTTTTATGAATTTACAAAATTGAAACATCATAGAGTTTTTGTACAAGTTGAGATGACCCATGCATACCCTGTGCTTTTTTTTTTTTTTTGGTGAAACAAAACACCGAAGCATGTGCATCTTCCTAGTATAGACAACAAAATAATCACCCCAAATACACCCAGCTTAGCATGACTTCCAATGCAGGCTAAGCCTGATTTTATTAAAGACTTCACCAACAAAGAACTCGGCTTCATTTTTCACCACCTGTGTATTGTAGCGGTGCTATAAGCTGGGAGCACCATTAACAAAGGTAGCGACTCCCATTTTCACTGGCGCTGCATCCCTGACTTGTTGTTAAGCTATCTTGTGACATGTCCATCTTCCATAGGACGTTTATTATGCTTTTGTCCTGACAAACGACTGATCACAGAGTAGCAGCTCTGACTTAACCTTCTATTAGTGGCCTGTGTGGTGTGGTAATGAAGAATACAATGGTAATAGGGATTTTATGAAGGTTGTTGTGTAATGCTGTTTTAGTTATTGAATTGGAGCCCTATCGCAGTGCCTTGGTGTCTTTGCTGCACAGATCATATGTCTTCTATTAGTGGTCAACCTTGCAAAGTGGACAGAACAGATTCTACAATATACAAGAGTCGAACATTGTGAACCAGGAGTTATTAGATGGGTAGAATTATTTTTCATTATGCAATGGCCTATTGACATTTTTGTGCAGATTTTTTGTACATGGACTACCTACCATTAACACTTGAATTTCAGTATTTTTTGTAGTTGCATAATTTATCAGAACTATACCTTTGTAAAAGTACTTTTTCCGTTTTGTGAAACTTTATAAAATGGATATAACATTATTTTCAAAAACCACCTTACTTATCTGTCCATGCTTTTTAAGAATATTTTACCAATTTATCGCGCCGCTCGGTCGTCAAGGTGTTCCTGCTTGAGCAACACAGGGTGACTCCTGCTCTCGCCACCAACACCAACCAATTATTGAACCGAGCAAATAATTTCTTACTCTCCTTTCATATAGCAACTATAAATGTCTTTCACTGATTTCATTTTTGAAATGATGTGCTGCATCCCCCTTTCCCCATCATCCTTCAGTTGCACTTAGCACCACTTTGATATTCAGAAGAAAATAGGATCCCATCTAGGTTTCAACTTTCGATAGATGTAGTATTTTTGTGGTGTCCATTTTCTGAATGACCACCTGATGGAGTGTAGTGATTTAGGCAGGTGTACGAGATCGCGTTTCGCTTCTAAATATCTTGTGTTTACTGAAGAAGATAAACGCTAGGCACAATAGCCTGGGGGAAATTAGGTGTCTTTGACAGTTTCCTTTCTCAGCTTTTCTTTATTTTTCCTTTGATAGATAAGAGGTTATGGATACTTGAACTCCTGACAAAGTTTTGGTCATCTCATAGTGGCTCAGTGAGGAGGACGCTACTTGCTATAGTTTAATATTTGACAAACTACTTAGGCAGGAGTTGGTATATATAAAAAGAATTTTAAAAAAGTCTTTTGCAGTCTTAAATTTGATATTCTGTTTTATTTAAACAGAAAGTGTTAGTAGACTATAATAGCTCATTTCCTCAAAAATAATTGTGTTATTAATGCTTATGTAGGCAGGGGTGGTAAATAAAGTGCCAGGATCTTTTTTAAAATGTAATTTGACATTGAAGTAACAACACATTTTTATTCTCACATTTCTGCCTTATTTCCCTAATGATATCTTCACTTGTGATTTTTGATATCTTAATGCATAAAAATACGTAACTGTCCATTTTGTATCTAAATTACAATAATTTTGGTGCCTTAAAACATGCAAATTACAGGCTTTAAATTGCTTGCAATTAATATGGCAGAATTGGAGGAAAGGGTATCATTATTATTTTATCTGCACTGTTGGAAATGATAATGGGTAGAGTGGTGTTGTTAGCAATGAAACAAATGAAGAATGAAGTTGGAAAGAAAGGTTCAGAACTATGGTTTATTTTAGATTTTTACTCATGTAATTATCTGTTTTAGTTTTATTTTAGTTTAGATTTTAAGAATGTTTGAAAAAATTATTTCTAAAATCAATATTTATTTATTCTTGCAAACAAAGAAAAGAAAAAATCTTGTGAGTTGAAAGATGAATCTTACTGCCCATATCCTCTTTCATGGGCCTCCTTTTAACCCCACTCCCCAACATAGGCCCCTGAATCCCCAGCACAGGCCCCTTAACAGTCAAAAATATTAAGTGCAGAGAACATGATAGCGTAGGCAGAACTATCAAGTTGACATCTATAATGAGTTAGATATGTAAATCAGTTGATGTGGGGTACGAGGATTCTGATGGCTGAGAATAGAGACAAAGGCATGTATGACATTGGGGGTGGATGCTAGCGAAGGTTAAACTGTTCACTTTTATTCGCTGGGGTATCAGGTAGTTCTTTGTTTGTGCATTTTTTTCCTTTGCATTTTTCCAGCATTGATTACCATTGTTTTTGTGCTATTCTGCTGCCTTGGAATTTTAAACAATATATGTTACATATTGTGAGTGTTGTAATATTTGTAACTTATACTGAATTTGTGAGTGTTTTGAAGAAGTGACAGTACTCTTCGATGATGTATTTTCAATTTGGAGAAGAATTTTGTGTTTTCATTTTCAGCTATCAGTCTAGACAATTTTTACTTTTTGTGTCAGGATTAATGCAGCGATTTGTTTTTATGTTCTGTATGAAGATAATTCAAATGTTTTTTTTTATTATTTACAGGTAACTTTCATGGAATTGTGAATCTCTTTTTATCAAGAAAGGTAAGGGACTTCAGCATTATGTGTGTCTAAGAGAGAGAGAGAGAGAGAGAGAGAGAGAGAGAATCAACTCAGATTCATGAAACAACTCCAATACAAAATGGTGTCAGACATTTGACAGTAGCTGACCATTGTTGTAGTATAGTATCAATGTCCAGTGTAGCATTAAAACTGGACCAACTCTTGTCCACTGCCAAGAATGAGTACAGTTCATGTCTTTGGCGACAGGAAGAAGAGGGGGATCTGCCGGTAATTCAATAAAGGTCGTGTGGGCAGAGAGTAGTTGTGGGGTTATACACATTCAAAACACGGAGAAGGAACAAGAAGGCGTAGCGATTGAAAAGATATGTAAATGAGCCTACCATATCTAAAAACTGGCTTGTCATGATAATTTATGGTTATTGCTGGGGAAGGAGAGGGCCTAGACCCACCAGTGTCCTACTACGATGTGACTGTTGTCACAGCATAGGAGTAAATGAATAAAAACTAACAGGTTAAAGGAAGTGGAGAAGAAAAAGGGGTGGAAGGAGACTTTCAAGTCTAATATGAAATTAAGACAGAGATGTAAATATTTAAAAAAATATGAGGGCAGGGCATGTACAATATAATGAAAAATTGTAGGAGAAAGGTCACATTTCACAATTACAATTTATTGTCACTGGCAGTCTAAATGCACAGAATACATGCTACATATTGAAAACAGTTTATGATAATTTTGAAAACACAATCGCAATCCTCAACATCTTTATTTGATTATTTTCTTGAAACAGAAAGTAAATCAATTAAGATCTCACTCAGTGCCCACACATGATGTAACTGTAAGTCACAGTGGAACAGCTCCTGGGTCAATTAACTGTCAGCCTGCTACTTCATGTACTGCTGCTGTCTTGATGCCAGCTCCAGGGAATTGGAAAGTGATATATTGGAGAATTACTAAGTGACCACTTCAGCTAAGGTGGTTCTTAATTATCATTAGCCTTGTGTGAGGGTTACAACAGGTGCTGCTTCAGGCCTGTGAATTATCATCAAAAATTATGTATTAGAAATATCAAGGACAGTTCTTTCTGCTACCTCAAGCATTATCTTTTTTTACTCAAGGGGAAACCTTATTGTTTTCACTTTTTAAAAATCCCCACACGAACAAAGACATCCTGATTGAAAGCGTTATCTATGGTTTCTATTAATAGATGAGAGTTCAGACCACGCTTAGTCTATCATTTCCTATAATAAGTAAGCTATCCTATTTAATTACATTTAAATTGAAGAGACTGTTAAATCTTTCAGACTGTCATATTAACTCATTGGGCAGGTGGTTCAACAAAAAAAAGACAATGACATACAGTGATTTAGATATGAAATGAAAAAATGAACAATACCGCACCGTTTAGCTCATAATTGGTTAGTGGCGTTAAATGCACTAACTGCATTTTATTTATGTGCTCCGTTGAGTACATAATGAGTGAATAATTCTGATGTTTTTAACCCTGTAGGGCAAAAGTGAGTCTGAGAATTCTGTCTGCTGATTATAGGTTAAGAACAAGGTATTTTACAGCAAAACTTAGAGTATTAGGGAAAATATTGTTTGTTTTTTTTCAATTTCAAGTTTATCATCGAGTTATGAGGGTGGTGAAATTGTCATTTTTGGCAAACATTTTGTTGTAATTGGCATACAATTGTAAAAAGCTTTAATGAGAATATTATCCAATAATAACATTAAAAGAGGATAACAGACATATAAATGTTTTCTTATTCTTGTCTTACATATTCTTATGATTACCAAAACTTGGTGCCATATCATTTAAGACAGAAAACAATATTTATTAACTAAGAGTTTTTAAAACAAAGCCAAAACAACCACCCATTTTTGATAAGTCCCAGAAGCTGTTGGCCTTATCTATGGAGTGGACAATATATGTAGATGCCTGTGAATACAGTCAGCTCAACTTTGGATGTCCTTGGGTGATTTTATTATGTAGGAACAAGTACAATGCCATAGTTTGAAATGGGGTCATGATTCCATATTTCATATCTGTCCTCATCTTTTGATGTCTTCTTCCATGTGTCACAAATTGGTTGGTTATGTAGAAAGCAAAGATCAAGAGGGCATCAGAAGGTTCCGATAGCATCTTTAATAGGCAGGGAAAGTGCATTCATGGATTTATATCGGTAGAAAAGGAGAAAGTAAACAGGCAAATAGATCTTATCTTTTATTGCAAGAGGACAATAGAAAAATGATATAACAATAAATGTCAAAATAGGTTAAAAACTGATACATTGGATATAAACAGGCCTGGTTTAGTTTGATGTGACAGTTTTGAATGATGGATAATTTTGCAACTTTGACGTCAGTAACTACTAGTTTTCTAATTCTCAATTAGTAAACAACAACAACAATGACAACAGCATGAAATTGGACAGTGAATATGAAAACCATGCTGATTCCTAGACTGGTTTTGTTCCAAATTGCAAAAAAAATAAAAAAATAAAAAATAATAAAAAAAAAAATAATAAATAAATAAAAATAATAATAATAAATAGATATTTTTATATTAAGGTGACACTACTGTATATAGTTGACAAGATGTGACCAGGGTCTGTTACAATAAAACTACCTGGCAGTAATGTCATTAAGGCATGTAGTGATGCTGTAAACCTCCCGGGGCACCTTTATGCAAAGTACCTCTTGAATCCTGTTTTTGTTTTATGCACAACTTAACGCCCATCAAGTTATCCAAGTATGCATTGAAGATAAATGTTGCTTTGTGTCGCTTCTTGTTTTTCTGCAGTTTAAGAAGAAAAATTGGTGTAATTTATAGCAAATCAGGTTAATGTGGCAAGAAATGGCACATTGTGCTTTTTAAACCATTGTATGGTAATGCTGTTTATTTTTATGTGGAGGTAAGGTGTTTTCTTCAGTGGTTTATCTTTCCAGTAAAATTGAAAGAGATAACAAAAAGTTTGCAGCTTTCAAAATTTTCAGCTTGGAACTTGGGAGAATAAGAAGCATTTTTTAAAGGTATGACAAAGAACAAGGGTAAAAGTGGTCACATAGTGCTGTCTCTCCCCTTTGTGTCGTCTGAAATCTGATCATGTGTGCTGGACCCAAACCTCTGACTAAACATTAATAGAAGGAAAAAAAAAGATTTTTTAGAGCTTGACATCCAGATAATGGAAGATTAGGACTTGGCTTTTAGCTTGATGATATTTTGAAAGAAACTTGAATTAGATCGGGCATTTAAGGACTTGCACAGAGCAGCAGTAAAATGATTTAAATTTGCACTTGTTAGTTTTTGGTTTATAATGAGTGAATTTATGGTGAAGAGGGAATAAAAATTTATGTGATTTTCCCTGTTCCTAGTTCTTCTTCATTTTTAGTTTGTAATTGGAAAGTGCCCTTTAAATATATATGCTTGTTTTGGCATGGGCATTTATACACCATGTACTTTTTTCCATAAAACATACCCATTGAAAACTTGTCATAGTAGTACACTGCATAATATAGTCAAATAAATTCCTGAAAATAATTAATCTAAATCCTAAACAATAAGAGAGTAATAAGTACACTATTCTGACTAACCCCTCTCCATTGGTCCTCACTGCCTTTGCTAGTGGGTTACTCACTCTCTCTTTCTCTCTCTCTCTTGTGTACGAGGTATTACATTTCTTTATTTGGAAACCACAGCTATTTTTAATCAATTGCACTTCTTTGCCTGTCGATTGATTTCTAATTTTCAATAAACTGCGTGTTTATTACAGTTTCAATGAAATCATAGAATGTTGCAGTACCGGGTTATGTTATGTGTTTTGTTTTGTGGCTTTCGCTTGTTGGTTCAGATGTTTGTTGAGCAAATTCTCCGCATTTTATCATGCTTTTGATCTTGTTTGGGGAATAGTAGGGTAGCGTAATGTACCTGAAGTGGAGCAAAAAGGACAAGTTATAATCCTTTCTGCTTCCCTTGCCACCTCTCTCTCTCTCTCTCTCTCTCTCTCTCTCTCTCTCTCTGGTGTCTCTCCCTCTCTCTCAAAAATTTCTGCTTGCATTTAAATGTGTATTTAATCTAAAATTTTGATTTCATTTAATATTTTTTCTGACAAAACCTAGAGACGGCAACTGTCACATTTGGCCTCTTTATACTACGTATATGACAAAGGTTGCGGTCATCAGAAGATTAATTGTCAAACTTTCAATTATCAGCACCATTTCTAGTGTTATGCCCAGTGAATAAGATTTCCTTTTTAGTCTCAACAGGGGAGTGATTTCAATTTAGGCTTTGTAAAGAATTTTATCTGCCTTAATCAAAGGTTCATCACCTCTATTGGGGAACTTAAAGCTACTCCAGTTTCATAACTGGAGGCTAGAACTTGTTGTTATGTTTGGCATCACCTGGTGTCCCTTGATTATTTTTGCGGGGCAGGAATGAACTCAAAAGTCTGTTTAGACTGCTAGCAACTTTGGTTGTAAATTCCATAAGAGCTGGATTAACGTGTGGACTAAGTTAAAGAAGTAATAAGATTGTCCAATGAATTTTTTACATTGCTTGGTAGTTAACAAAAAATAACAAAATAAAAATAACCCACAGGTGAGTTTTAAGAAAGTTGATATAGGTATGCAGGTAGATAGGAAACGGGCTGAATTTTAGAGTCCCATTATTTGGTTTTCAAAAATAAAAAAAGAACTTTGGTAGGTCAGGTGATATACTGATTTTCACCATTATAGTTAATACTACCAGCACATACAGCACATACCCCTGGTGTGTTTGTTGTATACAGAAGACAGCATGAAAGGTGTTAGTAGAAAAAAGATTTTTTCTCCTTGGTGATTATTTTATGTCACACTTCATACAGGTATTTATAACAGGGTGAAGCTAGAATAGAAAGAGTTTAAATTGGTAAAAGTTTTGTGATAAGAAGGTCCGAAGATGTATTTAATGTCTGTATGGTTTCTCAGTTATTTCCCATTAACTTATTTATTCATTTAATTCTGTTTGTTCATTTGTTTGCCCTCCTTTTAATGAATGTATCAAAGTTAAATCTTTTATGAAAAGTCTTACAGACCAATCTATCAATTCTTACTGTGGGATGTCAATTGACTGGCCACAAGTCAGAGGCAGTAAGTGACCAGATCATTGTCAATGTTTGCTGTCTCCTGTCCTAACAATCTAATATATAAAGAACTGACAATGAAGGGATATCATTCACCCATTGTTGTTACTGATACATTAATCCTTCCATTCCCTACTATCAGTGTCCTACTATATCACTGTTAGTCCACTAAAATATATATCTGGCAGACAATCTATGTCATATATTTGAGAGCTGACTATTGCTGTCACTTATGTGAATCAAGCACTGAGTATTGGCCAGGGACTCGAGCTTTTTATTAAAGTATTATTTACTTTTATCATATTGAGTTTCTACAATATGAGTAATTCTAACTTTACTTTTACTATAGGTCTGTCATTATCTAAAGGAAACTTTTGTTTGTTTGAAACTCTGGATTTTTTTAATGAAACACTCACTACTTAAAGAATTCTCTTTTGAATTGGACAGGTTTGGGGATGTCGTGATTTGGGTTGCCACGAGGAAACCAATCCAAGTTTCCAAAGCTACAAACAGATTGAAATCTGAGTGCCATTGACTTTCATGCACATTTTCAGCTTGTCTGTCATATTTTAAACATTATCCTACTAAATATTGATAATATATAGTGGCTGTATGAAACAAACAGATCAAGGTCGTAAAAATTAAAAAACCTGAAAATTTGACTTTAAAATTATTATTTATTTATGTTAGGGACATGAGTCATATGATTCTGCCATGCAGAACCACATAGCAATAATTAATGAGGATGACATTGCAGGGATTGTCTTGTTTTAATGTTAATAGCAGTGTGACATGCATTTAGCCACAAATAGGAAACAGAGCCTGGTAGTAGCATAGACACAGTACATGGACAGAGAATATGACCACAGCATTTATGCATGAGAGGTAGAAATTATTGTGATAATGATCTGATTGGCTCATCTTGGAATGTGCGTCAGGGTTGGATCTTTATAAAAATTATTTTCCGGGACTTGTCGCCACCTCTGCATCAATGGCCATCTTCCGCTGTTGATTTATGTAATTAATTGCTGTAAGTCCTTTGAGATAAGAATGTCATTTTTATCTTTGACGATATTTAATGTCTGTCACCTGTCACCATGACGTGATGAAAGTGCCGCATCTCAGTGGCAGCACTTAGCAGATTGGACTCATGATGTAAGACGAGAGATTAATATTTTGATATTCCTTTGAGAGTTGTCTTAATATAAGGAATGCCAGAGAGATCAGTTGTGAAGAACATTTTGCTCACTGAAATTGAACTGATACTGTTTTTTTTTTCACAAACTTGTCTCACCTGATTTATCATACTTTCAGCAAAATCTCTTTGTTAAACAACAAAGTATAAAGTAAAGAACCGGTTATAACCACAGAAATACAGGTGACATTGTCTTCCTATATTTCCACACAAGTCCACCCATCCTAGCTGTCATCAACTTATATAACTAACTGCCAAGATAGGTTTTTCTCCATTTTCTGAAATAAAACAGGAGAAAAACTTGTTAAAGTCAGGGAACAGATATCACGCACAGACGGAGTGGTGATATTTTTGTCTAGTCCTAAATATTCCCCTATACATTAGGACATCTTGCCATCAATATAATTACCTGTGTAATATGTGCTGCAGTTTGTATAAGAACAAAGGAGAACAAAATGAACTTGTCTGAGTTTACAAGACAAGTGAAGAAGGTGCGAAGAAAATAGGATGGTTTAGTCTGTCCAGAGGAGCCAGAACTACACTGTATCACAATAAAGACAATTAAAACTGTCTGTCTAGTCCTGAACATCTCATAACAATAAACTTATGACAGTTTAAAAAACAATTTGTCTGGTCTGACTTCTCCATGTTGCCACCCCAGAGACTGGTCTAATTGATGTCCTAAACCATTAAGTGAATACCCCAACATATATGTGTCTGATGCCATCTCGTTATCAAGATGTTGGCCCATCCTTAATTAATAGCCCGGAATTGGTTGAGTGGACCAGGGGTGGATGGTGACCATCTTCTGATATATCTGAAAGCGTCCCTGGTATCTGATGATGATTAAGAGGATATTAAGATATTGGTGATGGGTCATTTTCATTAGGGGATTTTTTTCTTGTGTGAAGCAGGAAGCCAAAGGGAGAGGGAAAAAGAGGTTGAATTGCTTTAAGATTATTAAGGTAGGCTTAATTTTCAAGTTTTTTTTCTTTCCATTGTATTTTTTCAGTGACGTAATGTACAGAATGGGTTGTTTTTATGTGTTAGACAGATGGTTACTTGTGTGCATGTGCTTTTGTGAATTTTTTTCTTTTTTATCATGGACATAACAAATTGAATTTGGCACCTTAAGGTATATTTATATAGGATGAGGAATAGGCCATTATTAAGTAGTTAAGATTTTCATTATGTTTGGATAAAAAGAGGTTTTAGGAAGCACACACTTTCAAATTGATATGATAAAGAAAATATACAGAAAGAATTTGATATTTTATTTTACTTCTTACTCTAATTATTAAAATAGTATTTATAAATGAAGGAATTGTGATTTAAAATATAATTGGGAAAATGTGGCATATTTAAAACATCAGTGAATTTAGGATGCATACACATATGCATATATATATGCTGCATGCTACAGATTCATGGCTGTAATATGCTTAATTGAATAAACAAACTGCCAATAACTGACATCTTAACAGACAGTTTGGACCATTTACCTGTTTACTGAGTAAATTAAAGCCACACTTCAGATTGACACAATTTTATTATATTGAACATACCTGTCTCTGGGCCCCTTTTCAGCAAATGTAGACCTTTGAAATGAATTTCTAATATTTCATTATAGTTATATAATTTTTGGCCAGATAAAAGTTGTGGACTGGGGGCTTT